AAGGACGTTTGGAGGCATGCACTCTTCAACTCCCAGTTGTCGACGTAATGAACGGTCAAGCTGAGATATGGCTCACAGGTTCTACTGGACCTCAAATCTGTAGTCGTAGAGAAGTGGGTCACATTTGTAAACTGGTTTGTCACTTTTTCTCTCACTTCAACGTACAAGGCTGGCAGAGCTTTCTCCGCTAAATATTTTCGACCAGGCAAGTTATACTTTGGGTCAAGTGTCTTCACGAGTTTTTGAAAACCCGGCTTTTCTACCACACTGACTGGGGTCATGTCTTTGGCAATGTATTGAATCACTGCAGCCGTGATTTCTATCCATTTTGAACTTTTTTTGTCATACAGGACTGATTTCGAAAAAGAAGAAGCCAGAGTAATTTGTATCTTGGCTGGTTGCTTAGGCGTTTGTGTGGAACCAGATATTGACATTCTGAGTTTAACACACTCTTCATTTTGTAGTGGATGATGGATTTTTAAGATGTTGGAACAAATTTGAGGTACTACTACCTTTGGCGGCAACGGATTTGCTGCCTATTTTACAGATTACCGTTGTTTGAGAAACGTCATCCTTATGGTAACCAAACCACCACCATATTACGTACCCAGTGCTGTTCTTTTTTGGAACAAGTTTGTCAGCCTCGGCACCTCTATCTTCCATAGTCGTTCCTTCTTTAAATTAATATGTTGTGCTAAGGTTTAAACTAGCTAACCTTTCTTCCTCAAAACAAATGCCTCTCTGTCACTGTGCGTGTGTGTAATGTTTGTGTGCAAGTTTGGCGGGGCCTGCGTGTGTGCCTGCGTGTGTGACTGTGTCTATGAGGGAGAAAGGAATGCTCATTTTGGCCGCGGCAGGAAACTGATTTGACAACATATTACTCGATGTTCACGATGTGGTCATTTACGAAATCGCATGTAGTGCAATCCACGATGTATCGTGTAAACTCGATATATCGCCCAGCCCTACTCTAAACGCCATACCATTTTAACAAGGTCTTTGAAATTGTTTGTTTTTATACTGTGTTTATTGTGCCTGTCTTCTTTTAACTGTTTTCCTTTTCTTTAAAAATACATATATTACTGTAAGCCTCTACGGTGGTACATCCTTGCACCTTAGTATATTTCACCTCGACGAGGCAGCTCGCCGGGGATCTCCACCCTCCGGTATGGGCAGGAAAGTACAGATTGTAACCTCCTTCATCAAACCAGCAGCCCCCAACAGTAACATTTTAAACCTGGTGGAAGAAAACACAAAAATGTGGATGCAGCGTAATTTGGATATCCTTAGGACTCATTACACTGACCTCCTCAAGGACCTCAGTTCGAGCCTGGTCCCTTTTTAAGAGGGATGCTTTTAACAGGGCCATTAATTAGGCTCGTAAACGATACCATAAGAAGCTCACCCCCTCATCCATTTCTGCCTGGCACTCCCTGTTAAACCCCTCAGACCCCACCTACCCCTCCTCTTGACATCACCAACCCTACCTCTTTTCCACCCCTACCACTGCCACAGAGACCTCAAACCTCTCGACGACTTCGCTCCACCCCCCCTAGTCTTCCCAATACCCTTACTTTACCTTCACACACAACCACTATCCCCTCTCTTCCTCCTTTAACACTCCCTCCCCGGCCCACTAACCTTAACCCTAGCCCCCTTCATGGGACACGAACCCCCCCGCCAATCTTGGTACTTACCTGCCCCCTCTTAGTTGCATCTATCCCCCTAACACGGGCCCCTCCACCAATCAGTGGAGCGACCCCCCCACTTTCAGTTACACCCACCCCTCCAACAACTATTGGATCTGAGTGCCCCCCTTTAACTGTACCTGTCCCCCGCCTTAGCCAACGCCATCCTACCCCGGCAGGACCTAATAAACGTGGTAGAGTCACGAGCCTAGCCATTAGCCACACTTCTATCTACAGCTGCTCCTCCCCCTCCAACTGGACCCCAGAATCCCTCTATTCCCCTGATTTGTTTGGGCTCTCCCCAGTTAAATCTCCCCCATCACAATTCCCCAGGTTCCCCCCAGCCTATCCGGCCACCATTAGTTGTTATCTCACTGGTCCCCCTCCCTAGCCCATTATATTCCACCCCGGCAAGACCCACAACATTTCTCAGAGTTAATTTAAAGCCACTAGCTTTCGACTCCGACGGGAATCCCATCACCCCAGGACCTACAGACCACCCGCAACCCATTAGTGCAGTGGTTCTCAAATGGGGGTACGCGGACCCCTAGGGGTACGTTGGAGTACTGCAGGGGGTACGTGAGATTTATTTTATGTTAATGAAAAAAATACGTAATTAATGCATTTAAACAAACTACTAATAGTAGATGAACTACTTCATTCAAAAGTTTACAGTAATTCTGGATAATAAAATGGGAACAATAAACGGGGTGCTCTCTTTTCCTCTCCCTCTCCTGACAGCTCGTCAGGCTCGTGCAGCTCGCTGAACCTGTAATAAGTGACCCGACGGCCGACAGTAAAGAATACATATATGTATAACTAGTTTAGCTAGTTCCAGAGTAGATTAAATAGCTAAGTGTGTTAGGTCTAACTCTTAGTGTATTTTGGTCCGCTCACCGGTCCGTCACAGCGGACGGAGCTGTGATCATGCAGAGCTGCGTGTTCTCCGTCAGCAGCAGCAGCTGATCTGATCTGATCTCTGATCTCTCTCTCGCGTCCGGTTAGACTTCCCTCGGTTTATGTCCAAATCTATCAGATCTAGCTAGTTCTAGTTAATGATATGACTGCCTGCTTATCAAAGGACCTAAACAATAAGCGTTGCTTGGCAACGGTGTGTGGCCGCAAAGTATAGCATTATGCATATGTTTATATGAGGAGTCAAAATCCCATGCTCATAAAATGCTCATATATCTTTTTCTCTTCATTCCCCACGCCCCAAAATAAATAAATATACTAATCTTAGGAAAAGTATAAGGAAGTTTGAGCAGTGTGGGTTTTATATTAACAGAGTTTCACATATTTCAAAACGCGAAGTGTAATAACTGCAGTTTGCCTCCCTGTCAGAATGACAAAGATCCTGAAGCACAAGCCCATGTTTTTCACTACATTGAAAGTACAACTTATTAAAAAGATCAGTTCAATGCAACTAATGTCATCTTAGTGTTATTGCATGATGTTAAAATTGGTTTGCCATGAATTTAGTGATGGATTGTAAACATTTGAAATGTAGCATTTAAGTGTTTCTCAGTTACAATGTTGTTGTTTTAATAAATCAGACACTGATGGTACAAGGCTGTACTCTACCTCTTTATATAGGCATTTGTTCCCTAACAATTTTTTTGCGCTGATCAGGGGGTACTTGGCTGAATTCTTTTTTTCAAAGGGGGTACATGATTGAAAAAAGTTTGAGAACCACTGCATTAGTGGACCTGCCCGCCCCCCCCCCCTCCTCCCAACTACCTAGGAGGAACAAATTAGTTTGTCTCTAACCTTTCCTTCCCCTCTCACCTAACCCTATACTTTCCTAATTTCAAATCCCTCCAATTTAACCCATCCCTTTTCCCTATCCTAAACCTAACCACCTCCACATTCTTACCTAATCCTAACCTTTTGTTCCTCCCCAACCTAAAAACCTCTCCTCCAAACTATAAGCTGTTCCCTTCCCATATATCCTTCACTTTTCCCTCCCTTCAGGCTAACCCTGCTCTTCCTCCCATCCTAACCCTAACACCTCCCTACCTTTTTACCTAAACCTAATCTCTCTTCCTCCCCCCCGAACCTAAACCCGGAAACCGTTCCCCATTACCCCAACAAGGGAAAAGACTATCAGCATTGGTTTTATTAAACTAACCAGATATGAAACATGTGCCCGTGCCTCTCCCCTGTCACCACAAGATGGTGACATGGGACCTCTAATTTATTACCTAACCCGTAGTGCAGCTGTTGTCATGTTCTTCACAGATCCCTCAAACATGAATTGAGCAAGTCACTAGGCTTGTTTGAGACAAGCAAGACCTGCACAGACCTGCGCAGTTGCGATCAACGTCTTGCTAGTGCGTTGCATGAAGGTTAGTCATTTTGTCCGACTTGCTCTGGAGGCCCGCCCACATGAGACTTTGAAATTTCGCAGGACAAAGATGCCCGCAGCCTTGAGAGCGAGGCGAGGCGGCGCAGTTGCTCTCCACGGGCTGCGGAAGCGAAATGCTTGATGGGAAACGACTCGCTGGTATCTCGAGCTGAGCGCTCATTGGTGGTTTTTACCACGTGCTGCTGATGAAACTCTCCAATTGGCTGGCAAAAGTTTGTTGTTGTTTTGTGTCAGTTTTACGTCGCCACATCCATTCCCATTTTTCATCATTGTTCCACAATGTTTATCATCATGAAATTAATATCTATATATTTATACTATACTGCTTACCGTTTTCATACTTTATATATCTTAGCATATTCATACACACTGTTCATACTGCTCACAGGCTGATATCTAGTGTATTCATACCCCACTGTTTATTCATCATTCAATTCATTCTATATGTTATTCTGTAGATTGTGTACATTACTTTCCACTTCACTGCTTGTTGCACCTGGTTAGAAGCTAAACTGCATTTCGTTGTCTCAGTACCTGTAATATGTGCAATAACAATAATGTTTCTCTTTAAGTTAAACCAAATCATTAAAATAAAATCTATTGTAATGTAATGATTTGGTTTAACCTTATTTATTGAATACATCATTTAAAATGGCAAGATTAAATCAAATTACATCCATGTTGTACACATCATAAAGCTTAAAGTGGCAGCTAAAGAATTAACACAGCAGCAGGTCTGTTCAATTCATGCTCATTAAGCTTCATGTGTGCGGATCTGAAGGGACTGATCATTTGTAGCCTGTCCACCTATCAGTTTTGCAAACATTAAGAGGGAGGAGCATTTCTAATTATGGAACCCAGTCACTGGTGTGGTTCATCATCATGACTGAATTAACAAACCTATATAAAGCAATGGAGATCACCTTTGTCTACAGTGGGTAAATGGAATTTGTGGTGCTTACACTGTGTGACGAACAGGGAGACATCACTGTAAGAGTCTCACAAGACATTTCCCAAAGACTACAAAATGGTGAGTAAACAACTAAATTGCATTCCAACAATCTGGATATGATTTTAAATGATGTAAATTATTTTTCAGATAACAGTTTAGCAGCTGCACTTATGCAGCAAGCAAGGGCTGCAACAAATGCACAAGGTAATCTATCATTTAAATCAAAAATGGTGTTGTCTTTTAATGCAAATCAAACAAATGACATATTCATGTTTATTGTAAACAAATATTTAATTTTCTCTCAATCACAGTCCCTTTAGATCTGTCTTCAGATGCTAGGCCTGCTCCTGAAAGGCCTGCTCCTGATGAAAGACCTGCTCCTGACGAAAGGCCTGCTCCTGATGAAAGACCTGCTCCTGACGAAAGGCCTGCTCCTGATGAAAGACCTGCTCCTGACGAAAGGCCTGCTCCTGACGAAAAGGCCTGCTCCTGATGAAAGACCTGCTCCTGATGAAAGACCTGCTCCTGACGAAAGGCCTGCTCCTGATGAAAGGCCTGCTCCTGTAAGGCCTGCTCTTGTAAGGCCTGCTAGATCCCAAGCTGGCACTCCTCACCTGGCATCCCCCTCCAGCCGGTCAGAACACCTTGAGGCAACACAAGGTACAGTAACTAAAATGCGGATCTAAACAGCAAATGCTATTTGTTTGAGTTACTAACACTTGTGTCTTAACAGATTTCACACACAACACCATACTGCTGCTTTTGGACCTGACAAAAACACACCAACAGGTGTACTATCACTCCAAACCCGGTTATAACAAAATTCTACAACGGCAGTTCAGCAAGGAGGGATACAGTTTCTCCTCAGACAAAATCCGGAAAAAACTCAACAACCTTTTGACCACCTACAAAAGGGCCAAGGACCGTTGTACCTCAACAGGAGAGGGGAACATAACGTGGGAATATTATGGGGTAAGAAGTTTGTTCTTGCACATCTAGTTGGTAAAAGCAACATTTCCATTTGAACAATTCTGCAATTCCACAGATAATGGACAACCTGTTTGGGAGGTGCGGTGTTGGGAGCGCACCTCCAGGCACTCTTGTTTCCACCCCTCTATTACCCACTGCCTCACAACCATCCACCACACTGCCGTGTGCCTCTGAGGCCCAGCCTGGTCCCTCCATGACCCTGCCCACCACACTGCCGTGTGCCTCTGAGGGCCAGCCTGGTCCCTCCATGACCCTGCCCACCACACTGCCGTGTGCCTCTGAGGCCCAGCCTGGTCTCTCCATGACCCTGCCCACCACACTGCCGTGTGCCTCTGAGGGCCAGCCTGGTCCCTCCATGACCCTGCCCACCACACTGCCGTGTGCCTCTGAGGGCCAGCCTGGTCCCTCCATGACCCTGCCCACCACACTGCCGTGTGCCTCTGAGGCCCAGCCTGGTCTCTCCATGACCCTGCCCACCACACTGCCGTGTGCCTCTGAGGGCCAGCCTGGTCCCTCCATGACCCTGCCCACCACTCAGCCGAGATCAATCCGGTCTCGAGTCTCCCATCCCTCCTTCTACGACCTGTATGAGGCCCACTCGGAGAGGAGGACCAGTGCACTGGAGACACTGGTGCGGCCAGAACAGGAGCGCCGGAGAAGGCTGAAGGAGATAAATAGGAGGAGGTTTGAAGCTAAAATGTTGACTGCGATGGGAGAAGTTGTTTCCCAGTTAAAGTCCATTGGGAGCCAACAAGAGCGCATCATTGAGCTTTTGCAGGACAAGCCCAAAATGCCATAATTTCCCCCACACTGGGTATTCCCTGAATTAATTTGTTTATAAAGAACACCACCTCAGTTTGTTTATGGAAGTAATATTGTTTAGATTAGTTATTTATTTTCCTCGTTATGCAGTTGAGTTATTATTTCATCCCTGGCAATTGCCTTTGTATACACTAAGTGTTCACAATGTTTATATGCAATTATTATTTATTTGCCAAGTACATGTGTACATATGTATATATAGTTATTTCATTTTCAAAGAAGATAGTCAACTGCTATTGACATGTGCAGAAAATGACCATATCTAGTTTTCATATATATGCATTTATTTTTTACTTGCCCAATCATTTTGGATGACATTACATGTTACTTGTTAGGCGCTTTAATCCAAAGCGACTTACATACTCAATACTGTGGGCATAAAAGGAAAGGAAATAAAAAAACAAATGTCTTCCACAAAGAATATGACAGTGGTTATTTGTGGGGGGGGGGGTGTGTGTGTGTGTGAGCTCTTTAAAAAAGGTCACAAATCTGATTTCTGTGCAACACTGCATCTTGGTTCTGGGGATGCGGTGCCCTGTTATCTGCTGCTTCAACCTGCTCATCAACTTCAATTGCTTCCCCTTCCTCCAAGCACATGTTGTGAAGTATGCAACAGGCAGTGACTGCTGTGCTAATGTTTGCAATGTTTTTCATGTACAAACATTTGAGCCTCCTGAACTTCGTTTTCAGTAGGCCAAAGGTATGCTCAATGACCACGCGTGCAACATTTAATTTTTGATTGAAACGACGCTGCCGAGCAGTTAAATGGCCATTGTCCCTGTATGGCCTCATAAGCTGAGGCAATAGTGGGTAGGCAGAGTCCCCAATGATGTGCATTCCCTCAGGCACCAGGGACTGGGGATCTTCATCAAGCAGCCTTCCAACAGCAGACAACCGGAATGCCCGTGCATCATGCCAGCTACCAGGGTGGCCCACATTAACATGACAGAATCTCTGTTTACTGTCACAGAACCCAGTAAGCACAACAGAATAAAACTGTTTTCTGTTGATGTATGCTATTGGGTTCTCACAGTGTGGTTTCACAATAGGAATGTGGCATCCATCTACCGCACAGACAGTGTTGGGAAATCCTGCTGCACGAAATCCTAACTCAGAATTATGTAGGGCTTGCCCTGTGGGCCAGGAAATGTGGTGAGACAAATATGTGGTGACAAGACTACAGAATTCACGGAGATGCAGGCAGACAGTGGATTTGGTGATATTGAAACGATCAGCAAACCCCCTATAGGACTCCTGGTTTGATAGAGTCCACAGACAGGCAAGAACATTGTTCCAGTAGAACGGGCCAATAGTCGTCATCACATCCTGTTTGGTAGAAAGGAATAAATGGCTTTTAATATCACCAGTCCAGATAATACATATTTGATGATATATATATATATATATATATATATATATATATATATATATATATATATATATATATATATATATATATATATATATATATATACACACACACACATACTTCCACATGTCCCCTGGACAATCGGAAATGACTTTTGAAGTCTGAAGGACTGTACTGTGGGACCACTTCTTCCACAAATTGTTGGACCTTTGGAACGGATCTAAGGAAGGCAGACACAGGAGCAAATGATGACCATAAATCATTAGACCTATTCAACATTCTTTATATATATATAACTGCTGCTGCTGCTGTAGGCCTATATTATCTTCACTTGATTTCAGTTGTATTCTTGTTTATTTATTGTATCTTTGTACTACTATCTTGCTTGCTTTCTATATCTTTAGTAAAGTAGCTTTTATCTTATCCCATTGGACTAAAAAAGACTAATAGTGTCATAATTTTGCACAATTTGTGATCTGTAGAGTAAAGTAATCAGTCCGGATAATCGATCATACTTTTTAATTTAGACTGATGCAACAATATATTTTGTCTTTTTACTTGTGTATTGTATTGTGTATCTGTTTTTGTTACCTGCCTAGGTAGCCTACTACGGATGTAAATTAGCACGTTTGCTCAAACACATTTATACTTCTTGTATTTTATACTGATGTTCATTAACATGCTCTGTCCCTATCAAATAAAAAAATAAAAAGATACGTAATTACCTCCGCAGACGGTGTTCATCATGCCATTCTCCATACAATACATGTGGGATTTCTATTGCATCCACTTCATCTGCAACGAAAAACGCCAACGCAATTTCCGCCATTGCAAACCCAGCCAGTCAAGCCGACTCCGACTCCGAGCTGTCCGACTTAAGACGAGCTTTTTGACACCTCCCCCGGCTGCGATCGGCTACTCTCGTCTACTTTCGAGGCGAGCCGCAATGTGTCTCAAACAAGCCTACTAGTTTCTTGGTCATCCGTTGTCTCCTTTTTAAATGTGGGTTGTCTTGACCTTTGTGCTGATCCCCACCATGTATGAAGGTAGATATGGTGCAAAATGTGAGAGCGTGTAAAACCTGATGTGAGCACTTTCAGAAAAAAAATCTGAGCTTGTGTGCATACATTTACACTTGTATAAAATATCCACGTAACTGTGAACCAAATTTACACTTGTATAAAATATCCACGTAACTGTGAACCAAATGTACACTTGTATAAAATATCCACGTAACTGAACCAAATTTGAAGTCACAGAAGAAAAAAAAAAGTTTTGTAGCTTGTAGAAAAAAAATGAACTTAGTGATGAAATGTTCACTTGCAGAAAAATACATATTTTTAAAATATATTTTCCATTACAACCTCTCAAATCAGTCATTACAACTTGACGAATCTGCTCTGTGGCAGTATAAATCGACGAATCTGCAGTCTTGACTTTTGCTACACTTCTTGCAATGAATGTGTCGCTAAAGTAATTTTCACCTGTAGATGTGGGGGAGGGAGGGGGGTTGGAGCGAAGGGGCGGAGCTATCAGAACGACGAGGCTCGGGTCAGTCACACAGTCACAGCCACAGTCAGGTCGTACCGGATGACTGCGGGGCTAACGGTCCGTGTCGCTACCATGGTCAATCAACGGTAAGTTTTGCCCATTACTTGCCCAGTATTACTTTGAATATTATTATTGTGATTGAGGATTAAATCCGTTTTGAAGACCACCGTTTTATATCGTGTAATTAGATATTAATTTATTAATGCTGTAAATTACCTTTAATATGTCTAACTATATTTAAAATGTGTTACCTTTTTATAGAAGTGATTATATTTGTATGCCAATATTTTTCTATGGTAAAATTTCGTTTTGCACTTTTATTTTGGTAGTAATAAGATCGGGACTCTTATTTTGAAGGAACTTTACCGGAAGTGAATAGACAACGAAGCAGAATGTACATATATATTTCGCCTCCCAAGGCTTTACCCATTTCCTCTTTGCTTTTCGTTCTGGTTCACCTTGCGCTTTATCAGTTGAATCACTTTGAACATTCGTTTGAGATGTTGACGGGTTGGCCGAACTTTTTACCCCACAGTCAAACAACTTAATTTGCTTCGCCATTTTTTGTAAAACAAACACACGGCGCACCGCGCACGCGATTAAACGTGCATCGCTTTCTGGCTCCGTAATCACACCAATGCACATGCAACTTAAGTATCAGGTTCCGACTGGTCACAACAATAATTAAATATCACTCTTAATACAACAAATAATTAACATGTATCTCTTTTGGGGTGCACATTTTGCTGTTTGCTGTCCTTGTTACTTTATGTTAAAAACTGGTTGCCACTGATGGCCAAGAAGTGGTTGAAATTTTTTCTGAATGGTTGCCAATGGCAACCTGGCAACTGTTACTGTCGAGCCCTGCTAGCATACAGTCAATTTGTACTAACCTCGTCAAGCTGGAACCTCTTAGCTTGCTACTTCCGGTTTCCGGATAAGGTGTTACCAAAATAAGAGTACTGCGTGTAGCAGTATAATTAAACATTACAGGTTGTGAGTTACATTAGTTATCATATTTATATAAGTTTAGTAGGTTGTGGAAGTGCGCTCCAAAATATGTGTTGATCTTCTTTATTGATATTATTTATTTAAATGTATAATTAATTTTTTTATTGGTTTTTCAGTTGAATTATACTTAAAGTTCAGGGTAATCAACTGTTTTTTAAAAAATTTTAATTTAAATAAATGGATGTTTTCAAAGTCAATGAATAATCGTATTTAATAATCGTGATATCAATATTGGCCAAAATAATCGTGATTATGATTTTTGCCATAATCGAGCAGCCCTACCGTGTGTGCATAACTAATAAAGACCCAAGAGGCAGCGTATGTTCACGTGTGTATTTACTTCAGACTCTGGTGTAACATCCCAAACGGTCCGTGTAGCAACAACCTATAAACAGTAGTGTTACGGTGTGTGCAGGAAGCAGGACCCAAATGCAGATTAAAGTGTCAAAAATATCTCCTTTATTTCAAGGCTATACTATAAACAAAGACAGAACAGAACACTCACCGAAGACCAGGTCATAACACAAGACGAACCGACCAAGACAGACAGAAAAACCAGAACTTAAATACACACAAGACTAATTATACAAACAAGACACAGGTGAGGAGGGAGGAGAAAACACAGGGACACCAGGTGCACACAATCGGGTAATAAGACACACCAGGGAAACTAACGACAGGGAACCACAGACAGATGATCTAAAGACAAAACACAACGCAGACAGAAAACCAAAGACAGATCTAGACAAGACAAAACACAACACAGACAGAAACAGGCAAGACAGGAGGTGAAGACCTTTCAAAATAAAACATGAAACAAAAGACAGAAAAAGACAAGACAAAATACAACACAGACAGATCTTGACAAGTAGTTCCTTTTACAGAACACCTCCCCTCTTAAGTAAGAACCGCTTTCTTTAGCACAACAAACATACTCTTATAGGCATGTTCATATTAAACAGAACATTTCACAACAGAACATCATGGACTGCATTATTATTGTTATTAAAAGTCTCTCATAGATTTAAACACTCTGGGGGGCGTGAAACCCTTCCTGAGGTTGTCACATATGGCGTGTCATTTGTGACTGTATGCCTGCGACTCTCTTCATGACAGGCTTAATCTCATACATTCATGGGATTTATGCAACAGTAAGACAGAGAATGTAAGTGTGCACCCACATGCAGTATTTTAGTTGTTATATGCTGTTGTAAAAACTCCTGTTGTCTGCTGTGTTCAGACTCAAGTCCTGTGTGTGATGGACACTTCAGGACATTCAGTGTCCTTTTTTTAACAGAAGACCGTTGCTAGAAGCTGCAGCTAGACTGCAGAAGCATTAGTTTTTTGTTTTTGAGGATGGAACACACACAGATATAGGGAGGCTAGACATATACAATTCATTTATTTTGGTTTATAAATTAATGTCAAGACATTTATGTTATTGATTTCTGAAGCACTTTCTAAATAATAAAAAGAGAGTTCATATGTATTTACTGCATGTATGCATTGATGAAAAATAAGCCATGTGCAGTAATATAGAAAATTGAGGATGCAACGCATTGGTATGAATCGTGATGCATCGGGATATCGAATTGAATCGAATCGTTGACAGGATAATCGTAATCGAATCGAATCGTGAGACCAGTGAAGATGCACAGCCCTACCGGATATACTAACTCCCCCTCGATTCTATTGGCTCTAAAGTTTCAAAAAAGGTGTCAACCCCCAAAATCGACCAATGGGTTCCAGAGATAGGATCCTGCGTAGTATAAATAATGCCAGCAGCGGCAGCTTTACGCACATAACGCAGCAGAAGAACCACAGCTGCACCTCCACCGCATAGCAGCAAAACACCGACAACACAGCGACGAACACAGCGAACAGAGAACACAGAGACAACAGCAGGCAACAGAACATAATATTACAAGGACAAGGACAATGATTTATTTGCTTTTAGGACTTATTCAAGCAAATAATGGCACCCAGAAAGAGGCTGTATAAGCTTGAAGACGCCGTGGAAATGGTGTTCGCTGACTCTCCGTCAGAAGATGAGGATCTACTTCGGCCACAATCAGACCCTGATTATGAACTTCAGGAAAGGTATGTACTCTCTCTGTTTGTATCTATTAGTTGTGTATTTGGTGTAATCTATAGTAATTCCACACTCGCAATATACAAAATGGACGCCGCTTTGTTGTTGTAGCGTTATCGTTCTATCGAAACTAAAACAATGGGAACATCGTGTTGGTGAACACTTATCAATAGATTAATTGTATTTTGTGACTATAACACGGCAGTATATAAATAAAGCTGTATTGTATATCAACCCAGTCTCTCTCTCTCTCTATATATATATATATATATATATATAGGCTATATATATATATATAGGCTATATATATATACTGTTATTCCACACACGCCAAATGGATGCTGTTTTGTAGTTCTACAGACATTGTTCTGTGAGAAACGAAAACAATGGGAACATCGTGTTGGTGAACACGTATCAATAGATTAATTGTATTTCGTGACTATAACACGGTAGTATATAAATAAAGCTGTATTGTATATCAACCCTGTCTATATGTATATATATGTGTGTGTATACTAGGGTTGCCAACTTCCAGAAATGGAGAAACGGGACATATGCATGTGTCCGCCAGAAACCCGAAAATCTTCGCGCGCGGATTTAGTTACTTTTTTTTGTTACTTTATTTTGGGTTAGGGTTATGTTATTTAATTATTTTGGGGGAGCCAGCCCCTAGGGTTCGAAAATGTTTTTGGGGGTCAAAACCCACAAAATGCATAGAAAACTATGCATACCTATAACACAATACAAACACAATGGTCTTACACCTGCATTAGGCTACTACATCACATTGTACATCAGCATGTTCAAATCGGATAGGTGGGCACTAGGGACATCTGGGCACCTCGATGTACAATTGGCTATTTTATCCAAAATGTTAAAAAATAAATATTTGAAAAATGGTATTAAGTAATGCAAAGTATACATGATGTGAACATGCATGGTACATCATTATTAGACTTAATGTTATCCTTCAACCAACCATTTTCCCAGCATTTTCCCATCAATCAGCTGACTGACTCTCTCACACACGCAGAAGACCCGAGACAGATCTCCACTCACGGGCTTTACCCAACTGTGTTCTTCTTCCCACTGTTTGTTGTAAGACACAAGTCTTTTCTTTTTACAAGGGCCAGGGCCCAGAACCACATCCTCTCTCTCTTCTCCTCTTTCATTATCACCTTCTCCACCGGCAGCGCTCATTTTCCCACACGACTGAACAGGCTGACATGCCACACAAACAATGATGCCGCGGTCCTAGCGCCCTTCGCATACAGCACACAAACACACAGGCACGCAGCCAGACACACTGCATTGTGCGCAAACAGAAA